AAAATTAATATTGTTTATGGTCTTCACACGCGTTATAGTATGCTCCTATTCTTTTTATGCTCAGCTACTAAGATTTCCCTTCAGTGGTAAAATTCCATATGAATATTCAATACTACAACGGGCACAGTAAAGACGTTTACTGTAAATCTTTCTACGACAGACCAACGGACCACGAGTGCCCCTGTTGGTCAACCAATCACGCGGTACCGCGCGTCATCGTGCGTCACAACGCCGGTACCTCCGGTACGTGTCTGTACCGTGCACTTTGAATGGCTGCATCTGTATGTATAATATATATGTTTTATTATAATCTAAAACAACAAAACAAATATAGTGGCATTCAAAAGACAATGAAACAACAAAAAATTAAGATTAGTGATATTCAAAATACTGTGTTCATATCTCTCTTATCTCTCTTGTCTGTCTTCCCCCTTTGATGACAAGGAGGCTGGGACACCTGCAGAGTGAGAAGTGTGGAAAAGTGGAGGATGGGAACGAAAAATGAAAGGTGAAAAAATAAGGATTTGATAGAAGCATTCAGTGAGATTGATCACGCTGTAGTATGAGTTATACTTTACCTGACCATCATGTTCATAACCATCAGTACACATGCACTTATTTCACAGTTTAAATTTAAAGACCAGGATTAGTTTCAAGTGGTTCAACAAACAAAACAGTAATAACAGCAGTAGCTGGAGGTAAATTAATTACTGCTCTTTCAGTTTGTGCTTCTTCAGATACTAAGGACAATAAATGGGATGTGTGGAGGGTTTTTTTGGACTGCGGATTTACATGTAATGTAATGTAAACTATGTAGGTTCACTTTAGGATAAGTTTGTGAGTTCTGCTTTTCACTGTAGCAACAGGAACATGTTTTACCTTAAGCAATCTTTAACCTTTAATCCTTAGATACTGTTGCTATCTTAGTCATGAAAGAAAAGCAATGGAAAAACTGAACGAAGCATGAATCTCAGTCTTTTTTCAGTAATCTGTCATAAATCCATGTGTGGATTAGGTGAATTGTTGTGACTAGACTAATAGTCAATTGTCCAAATTTGCAGCCGTTAAGCAATGTCTTCCGCTCATCCCCCTCCCAGATTTGGACCAGGTTCTAAGCTCCCCTTAGTTCTATCTTTGTAAAAAACTTGGCCTGCTTGGCCATCTCCAGATCAGAGGCAGGTTATTTTTTTCAGCCCTCTGTAGTCAGTGCAGGGAGCTGTCCATTTTCTATCATTGGCAGGCAATGTACACAAGTGAATAAAGCGCTTCTGAAGGTTTTCCTTAATCTAGTTACTCATGGTCTTTGTCTCAGGTCAGAGGAGTGCGAACAGGTGGCCCCTCGGGGGGGGGTGGTTCTAGGTAGGAGGTTAACGAGGCAGTCGCGTTACTGTTGCAGCACAAATGTCTGGGCTTTCTTTCGTCTTACATAAGATGTTGGTGAAGTTCTGATGTGCTGTGGGAGGGATTGGGTTTCAGGGTCCGAGGCCTCGAGTGGGTGAGTAACAGTGAAGCAATCATCCTGAGAGTCTAGTCTACAGATGACTAATTCCTTAGAGGTCCAGTTCAGGTGTGGATTTTGTCTCTGGAGTCATGGGAATCCCAGGCCCAGGGGGTAGCGCGGCGATGGAATGCACAGGATTTTGTTGGTCATACACCCAGTACATACACCCAGTGCAAGAAATTAATGATATACTGCTCACTGCAAAACTTCCCAAATATACAGAACATGTGAATATCATAGATTTTAAACAGCAGAATCAATACAAAGCACCATGAATGTTAAATCAAACGAAAAATAATAAACTTGGCTTCCGAATGGATTTTTGGAAGCAGATACAACGAAGAAAACTATATATCTAGGAACTGGTCCTTATACGCTTCAGAGCACATCAATAATTTATTGATTGTCCAGCAAAATACAAATGAAAAAAACAAAAACTCATTAAAATACATTAAACCAGACACCCTTACCTTGCTGTAGAGAAAACCATACACAACACAAAAAATACATTAAGAAAAAGACATGAAAGGTCACTGGAAGAAGATTAATATTCCATTCCAGCAGTGTTACAGAGAGTCACGATTCAGCCATGCCCACCCTATGTTATTACCTTGAATGGTTGTTTATGAGTGAGTGTTACCAATTGTATTGGAATCATATAAAATACTCCCACTTATATCACAGTGGCTATTTCTGATAATTTTTTATCCCTGCCTTTCAGTTACTTCTGAATTGTCACATACAACACTTATTTCTGACATGTCACGTACAACAGGTGTGTGTTTAAAATGGACTCAAGCCAGGTCAGAAATAATGACCCTAGTCCAGAGTCACATTTCTATAATAGTTAAAGAGGTTTGCTCATGCTGTTTCTTGACAGTGCCTTTCTTTTTTGTATCACTTGTGATGTACTGTTGTCTCATGGACTGTTACATATAAATTAAATTTAACAGCATTCTGAATGGGGGCAGATGTGGAATGGTGTCACAGTCCATGGGGAGTGGCCAGCTCAGTGCACCTCGGGCAGAACAAGACTGAGGCAAAACTGTCCACCAGTCTCCAGGCGCAGGGGCTGCCCAGGGTGTCTGCAGGAGTCTGTTTAAAAATGGACTTAAGTCAGAATGGCCAGTGTCAGATTTCTGCAATAGTCAGAATAGTTTTATATTACAATAGGATTGTAATAGTTTCTACAACAGAACCTGTAAAATCCACAGGTTCAGTCTGGATACCTACAGGCCAGGCTCCCAGATCAAGGGCCATATGGGGTAGCAGACAATCCACAGGAATTATCTGGGATGCAGGCAGTTTGGCTGGGACTGGAATGGAGGGGATGAGTGAAGGGATGATGGACACAGGAGGAGGGAGAGCCACCAGACTCAAGTGCTTGATCCAGGGTGTAGCACAGGACTGAGGGATCAGAGCCCTGGGCTGGGCAGGACACTCCCAGTCAGGTTGTCCATGGTACATTTTTCAAGGGGTTTCCTCCAGAGACCGGAGTGCACGTCTTCAGAGTAGACTAGGAAGACAGAGACTTGGCCAAGGAAGGCCAATGGTGAGGTCTGGGTCTGAAGAGGGGTACGACCTCTGCTCCACACTCACCTCTTTACAGCACAGCCATAGGCAGAGCTCCCAGGTAGAGGCTCAGCGAAGCACTGAAACTGGAAACCAGGCAGAGGAAAGACTCCACTGGAAAGCTATAAGTCAGCTTAGGAATGAAGTGCTGTTAATGTCAGTGCCTGATCACTAAAGAGAGTTTGAGGAGGGTTTAAATGCCCCAGAGCACCAACTCACATGAGAGCTTTCGCCACAGACAGGTGCTCTGCATGTCCTGTCTCCTCAGGGATCAGGGCGAGCAGGGCATGGCCACCAGCCCCTGCTGCTACAACACCCCCCGCTGTGCTGCAGTAGGGCAACCATAACACTTACAGCTGACTTTGAGAAAAGGTACATATAGTTCATACTGTGTATGGCAACAGAAAGGAGTTGTTTTGGAAGATAATATTTACATGATACAAGAAAATAAGGATAAGACATGAATACTCAAATTGGGGTGATGTAATTCAAAGGGTATCACAGGATCTATATTAGAACCACTTTTTCTTAATTTATATCAGTGATTTCACTGTGGAAAGGTTAAAGGATTTAAAATTCAAAAAGATTTAGACAATTCATGATTGGCTTAATGGGTGGTATGGTAGCGCCTTGCAGCACTGCGCCCTGGATTCATTTTTGGACCTGAGATGCTCTCTGCAAGGAGATTGTATGTTCTTCCTGTGCTCGGGTGGATTTCCTCCAGGCCCATTGTTTGCTGGGATAGACTTTGACTCCCCAGCCCTGCATTGGAAGAAGTAGTTAGAAAGTGGATGAATGGTTGACTTGAAGTGAAGAAAATCGCTTGCAAGTTTGCATTGAATATACAAACAAAATTGGAAACAGGGAGCTAGAAGACAATGCTTATGAAAAAAGACTGTGTTTATGTTGACACATTGTCACATATTCACATTGTCCAGACAAATTAATTAAAAAAGCACATTGGTAGGATATGTAGTTAAAAGTCTACAACTTGCACTAGTAACATCTCATTTACAATATTGTTAATGATCATGATGTTATAGAAAAAATAGTCTGGATTTTATCCACGACAACCAGATACATGCCAGGATTAAGAAAATGCCCTACATAAGTCTTAAAGAGCTGAACCTTTTTAGTTTTGAACAGAGAAGACTATGATGGGACCAGATACAAATATTCAGAATCCTCAAATGCACTGACAAAGTCAATTTCTTCAGAATGTTAACAGATGAACCAAGTGAAGTAAGAAAGTTTTGTTAAAATCATGAACAGGAGACACCTGTTTACCCTAAGGGAAACTAAGCTAACAACTATCTACTGGGCTACAAGGGCCAAAAAAAGGGCCTCCTCTTGTGTATACCTTTTCTCAATGTTATTATGTTCTAATATTTCTAAAACTTCACAGTCTTGTTTCAAAATGTAATTTTGACAGCAAAACACAACAAAACACAGCAAAACATAAAAGTAACCCTATTTACAAAAGTTGTAGATCTCTTAATTACAACAATGGAATTTGGAATTTAAACATTAGTCTATTCAAAATGCTGTATTAAACTCTGAACCACCTACTAGAAATGTGGAAACAATACAGGAATTTTTATTTTAAAAGAACAGAGTAACTACTTGTATATCCATCATCAAAAGCAGTTGCTTAATATAGGACCTGTATGTAGTATCCATCCATTTTCTTAACGCTTTATCCAATTCGGGGCCAATTCAGGATCCAGATCCATCTCTGCAAGAGACAGACAGGAAACACCCTGGACAGTACGCCAGTTTATCTCAGGCACACATAGACACATTCACATCAGGGACATTTTTCTCAGAAGCCAGTTAACCTATTGTTGTGTGGTTGGACTGTTGAGGAAACCTATACAAACACAGGGAAAACATACAAAATCTACACAGATAACAGCCTGGGAGCTGACACCAGAGCACTGTCAGAAAGCAATGCTGACCAATACTGACAGGTCTATGAAAACTGTGAAATAATATAATCTTTGTGAGTGTCTAGATTTTGATTGTAAAATCAGAAAAAAAACAGAGTAGAAACAATACCTACTGTACAACAACTAAAGTTTGTAGGCCTTTCACTTTTGAATCCCCCTAAAACACAACCCAATATTAGCTGGTTGGGTGTAACAATGATTAAAAAAATATAAGCATAACCATTGCAGCAAGACAGAAACTGTAATCCCAAACCAAAAATTGATGTAGAAACTACCGTCATTAAGATATGCACCTGCACATTGTATATATTACTAAATGCAATACCATGAGTTACTGCAGGTAAACACGCCTATTTTGTTATGTAGAAATGACGTTAATCCTTTGTTTATAAAAGCAAGTATAAGTTTTGCCTTCCCACCTGCTGATTGAGAAAGAGAAGACTTTAGTCTGAAGTCAGACGACAAGTAATGTATTCAATGTCTTATTATACAATATATTATTCTATACTGTAACTATTGTTAAGGTCTGACATAAATGATGTTGAAATTAAGGGTTACACTTTTTTTGTCTCTTTGCAGATACAGCTCTGGAAAAGTGTGATGGCTTCAGCTTTGGGCTGGACTCTTGCAGCATTTTTGTTAATGGACACTATGGCCTTCTTTCCTGTTCCAATCCCACTTGTAGTCAAATCAACAACTCATGCAGACGTCACACGGAGAGCCATCCTGCGCAAGACAGCTGAGGTCTGCAGGGACCTGGCCCAGGCACAAGGCAGGGACTTCATCCTGCTGGTGAGGACACACATTGTTTTGTTTCTGATATATATGATCATCAAGTTTCTTAAAATTTGTGGCGCACTATATGACAGATACTGTATAACAGTGGAAAATCTAAAATATATTGTTAGTGTTTTCATAAGTTGAACATTGTTTCTCTAAATACTTCCATCCATCCTTTCTTTAAGTTTTAACACACAGTTTAGGGCGCGGGGGAGCTTGAGCCTATCCCCGCAAGCAATAGTGCAAGCAATAGTCCCTGGACAAGACAGTTCATCACAGGGCAGACACACAGATGCACACTCACGCCAGGGCCAATTCCTAGAAGCCTATTAACCTACCAATATGTTTCTGACAGTGGGAGGAAACTGAAGCACCTGGCAGAAACCTACAAGATCATGGAGAGAACATCAGTTCACGTTATTACACATTTTACCGCACGCAAATAGATTATGTTAATAGTATCCAGAATCACCTTTTAAAACTGCCAGGTGGAGCTAATAAAGCTTAACCTCTCATGTACAGCATTTGAGCTGTCACCACTGCTGAGGGACAATCTTTATTCAATTATGAATTTAAATTGTATACTCTTTAGACTTTTAAATTAAACTGTGTAATACATCATTAAACATTAAAAAGTTGGTATATTTTATGAAGGCAAGATTGCTCAGTTGGACAAAAGTACACAACTTACAACCTTTATCATAAATATTTTAATTATGCAGAAATATTTTATGCATCAAAGTCTTAACAAAGATATTACTAATAGTATTTCTAATAAATTACCTTGGACAAGTTGTAAACTCAAAGTATTACTCTGGTCCACTGAATTTCCGATTCTCCATGCCTTTCACTTGCTCATAAACAATATTCATTTAGGAACATAAATATATTAAGTAAACTGTACTGTATATGGCTGGTATAAGTAGTTTAAAGAAATAATACACACCAGTATTTCATTTCTCCCTAAACATTTTAAACATCGAAGTCTTACATGTGGTTATTTCGGAAATGTTTTTACATGCTCCTTCTGACCATATTACTGTATGTTTATATACTTTGTGAGAAAGGTAATAGTTTTAAGCTTTTCTGCGAATACGCTCGTTATCGGAGTAAACAAAAGCATACTTTTAGAATTTGATTAATAGGGAGTATAATATGGAATCGCGTATCT